GATCATGTTTATGATTGTTCTTTTAAATTCAGTGTCCTGGGTTATCTCTAGGGGTTTCTCCTTGTAGAACTCTTCTACTGGATTGGCGGACTTTGGTGGGGACATAGCATTTTGGCTTTCCATCTTATTATTCTTTTGTTGGGGTTTTGGCATGTGAATTTCTTTTGTTGTTTATGATTCTGACATAAGAATTAAGTTGAAGTGTGCTTCTGTTTGTATTATCGGGGTGCCTAGATCCTTTCTTTATTGGTTATGTAAGGCTGGTTGGTACAGGGTTCAGGTTCTCTCAGGTTTATTTTGGAGAGAACTGATGGCTTCAGATCAGCTATTCAGGGGTACCCACAGAAGCCCAATTCAGGTTCCAATCAGGTACACTTAGGCTTCCTTCACCACATGGAGGCAGGATCCAGGCTCTCTCAGGCAGTCCTGTGCCTTGTCAACCCTGTGCCAGAGGGTGGCACTCTCTGGTGGTCTGCTGAGATCCCAGCCTTAGCCTACCAAAGGGAGATCTGCCCTGGGGCCTTGGGAGGGGCCTCACAAAATCCCAGGTAGGGGGATGGTATGGTGCAATTAAGGGAAGCTCACCATAACATGGAGGCACTCTCCTGGGACTGTCAGGCTGTCCCCTGGGTTCTCAGGCCCTCTGGTAGTTGGAGGCCAGAGGGAGGCCAGAATCCGGCACTCTCTGGCGGTCTGCCGAGCTCCAAGCAGCTACCCAGATGGAGGTCCGAACCCATCCTCTCAGGGTGTCCCATAATTATAATTCCTATCTACATATGCAAATTAGAAAAAAAATCTTTTTTCTAAGATGTATGTAATCAGTTATTTTACTATTTATTTCTTTGTTCTTCCTAGAAAAGACAAGCTACAAACACTGTTATGTCTAGATTGGATTTTGAAATAGAACATATAAAAGTAACTGCCCAGTAGAGTTCTACTCAGCAGTAAAGAAAGATGAAATAATGAAATTTGCAGGCAAATAGATGGATCTAAAACTGTTATACTAAGTGAAGTAGCACAGACTCAGAAAGTAAAGGATAACTAAAACTGGCCTGAAGAGATGGCTTAAAGGTTAGGAGCACCGACTGCACTTTCAAAGTACCCAGGTTTAGTTCCCAGCACACACATTGTGACTAAGAACTGCAACTGCAGTTCCAGGAGGTCTGACATTGTCTTCTGGCCTCCATGGGCATTGCATGCACAGATTCACTTAAATACACACAGGCAAAACACTCATGCACATAAAAATAAATGAATTTTTAAAGAGATCAACTAAGTCAAAGTTAATTTGGTGAGGTTTAATGAAAACTTGAACTTTCTACTCAGAGCATTCCCAACCCATTTGCTCACCTTCATTCTGGCAACAGTGTACTTTTATATGTTTATATGTATAAAAAGAGTCTTGAATAGACAAGATTATGCAATTAAAGCATGATTTTTATAACTAATATCCACCTCAGAACTTTTTTTTCCTTATACATCACATACTTGGGGAAAGGAGACTGACATTAAATAAATTTTGAAAGTAATTCTAACTGTAGCCCAACCAGAAATTCTTATTTTTGTTTCAGATACCATTCATAATAATAGATCATTTTAAATTCTTTTAAATTATGTATATTTGTATGGGGGTCTGTGCACTGCCATGAGTAAGGTACCACTGGAGGCCCGAGGTGCTGGATCTTCATGGAGGTGGAGTAACAGGTAGTTGTGAATCACCCAATGTGAGTGCTAGGAACTGAATTCAAGTGTAAGAACAGTAAGTGCTCTTAACTGCTGAGCCATCTCTCTAGCCCCAAGAAATCATTTCTGTGTGCTTGCTATCAAATCTCTATTAGCAAAAGTACTTTATTTAAACAATCATTAAATTCTAAAAAGACAGACTAATAAAGACCATTAATTTGGAGCTGGAGAGATGGTTCAGTGGTTAAGAGTATTAACTGCCCTTGCAGAGGACCAGAGGACCTGGGTTCAATTCCCAGAACCCATATGATGGCTAACAATTGTCTGTAACTCCATTTCCAGGGGATTCAACACCCTCTTCTGAACTCCACAGGCATTGCATGACACAAGTGCACTTGTACACATGCAAGCCATATACCCATACACATAAAATTAAAGTAATAAATAATTTTTTTAAAAGACCAATAGGAGCCAGGCATGGTGGCACACACCTTTAGTCCCAACATTCAGTAGGCAGAGGCAGGCAGATCTCTGTGAGTTCAAGGCCAGCCTGGTCTAATAGCAAGTTCCAGGTCATTTGGGGCTACAGGAGAGACCCGACCCTAAGAGTAAAAATAAATCAGTTTCTGTGGTCCAACTGTATGGCCTTAAACACCCAAATGGAAAGTGTAACCAAAGATTAAAGGGGCCAATATAATTTCTTAAGAGTCCAAATGCATAGCTAAAGGCTACATAACAAGCAACATCAGACATGAAAA